TATTAAATTAAAAAAATTTAAAGTACAGTGATCAAAATTGGAGAGACAATACAATTTAATGAGAAAATTTGTGTTTTTACCATTATCATAATATGTAGTAATTACTCACTTCATATCTTTTTTCTTTATATAATTAATTTGTTTATAATTAACTTTAAAATAATCACTTAGTTTTATATTTATATAAAAATAAAAATTTATTTACAAAAGGACATCGAGAAAAGAATAAGATAAATACATTTTAGTTTGAAATTAGAAATGACATTATAACAATAGTTCACATAATAATTTTTTTGAGTAAGCTATGTATTTAATCATCCATTTATTTTCACAATTTCATTTTGGTTACTTAACTATTTTTTTTCTCAAAATCAAAAATAGCGTATGTTTTAGTTCCATTTTAATCATTTACCGTTAAAAAATTAACAGCGATATTGACATATCTCTATAAGGTAATCTCATGTCATCATTGAAAAAAATTATCACATCAACATTTTTTGTTTTTTTAATAGGAGATTAGCAAAACGTAACCAAAACAAAACGTTAAGTATGATTTTAAACAAAAATAATTGAATGACCAAAATAAAACTGCGAAAATAGACGAATCGTTAAATATATAGTTTATTCTAGTTTTTTTAATAAGAGAAAAGCCAAAAAAAAGGCAAATGAACGAGGCATGTGGAAAAGGAGATTAGAAATAAGCAAACGATGATTGTTGTTTCGTGTAAAACGCGAAGAAAAAAATAGAGTAAAGAAGAGTTGCGAAAGGATCATTGTAGTGAATAAAAAAATAAACAATTTTTTCAAGAAAATGTTTTTGGTGAATAAAAGCTCTCCTTTAGTATTTTCTGTTATAGCCAAAATCATAATAAATATAAAAATTAATCAGATCTAATCATGTCAGATCAAGAATAAAAATTAATCCTGGATTTTATAGCTTCTCTATCAATTCTAGTTGTTTGAAGTGTTAAGGATCATTGTAGTGATTACCTACAACCAAAAACAATATTTAGTACACAATGGATCGATCATTTGATGAAAATGGTCATTTTCTTTTCGAATAATTCAACTATTACAAGAAAGGGATCGATAATTTTCATCGATGGAACGATCCTTTTGGTGAAGAGATCGATCTTTTTCATCGGGGGATCGATCCTTAGCTACTAGAATCCAAGTGATCGATCATTTTCCAAGGGGATCGATACTTTTTCTTAGTGGGATCGATCCTTTGAACCAAATAACCTTGGAAACTCGACTTTAAAGCGAGAAAATGGTCGAGTATAATTTTGAAAAGGTTCAACTGATTTGGAAAATATTTAAAACATAATTTTCTAGTTAATTTGGACTTTGAATTACTTTTGAGAAAATTTTAACAAATTAGATTAAGTCCAAAATCAATTTTGCAATATATCTCTTATATTAAAATATTAATTCAACATACTACATTACTTCTCTGATTATACTTGTAGGCATGCTTATATTAGGAATGCATGTAGTATAATAGAGTTATTTATGTGGCATTAAGCTTATGGCTCAACGTTTAGAATATATTTCCATTCACATGTGTTTAGGTGAGGATCAAGAAGCACCATCGTCAAATCAGAGTTCTAGACATTGTTGATCAGAGTCCAAACTTTAAAATAAATTCAATTTAATCCTTAAACTTTGATTTTCTTTCATTTAAACACATATTTTCAAAACTAATCACTTTTTAAAATCTAATTAATTTAGACATAAACTTCCATGTCAGATTTTGGGGTGTTCCATTAGGTATTGCTGTGAAAATTATGGATTTTTGTGTTCTTTCTTTTGGCTTCTCACTTTTATTGATAATTCTCTCGTTAGAGTATTTCTTGGAGTACGTAATTTGATTGATAATAATGAAGAACAATTTCAACAAAGATGTTTTTTTATCTTCGAGATTATAAACCACTTAACCATAGAACTTAAACCACTAACAAAAAAAAGACGTGAAAAAAAATCTCTAAAATATATGTTTTATCCAATATACTTTTCGTCGGTTATAACTATTTATGCCACATAGGGTAAAGGCACATCCAATCAAATATATATTTTAAAAGGATCGAATGATTGAACATATATTTACCTTATGTGACATAAATGTGTTTCATTTTGATAAATAATCGAAGAAAGATATTATTTTTTGATTAGATAATCTTGATAAGTGGGATATATGGGTAAAAAATCCTCAATTGTTTTGGTTGTTCTCCCACTTTTAAAGTTTCGTTCTGATTATTTTGGACTGACTTGTGATGCACACCTGATTTTGATTGGTGAGTCTTTCAATATGAATTTTCTACATACACAAAACCTCAAACTCGAGACTTGCTTAAGCAATCTCAAATTATTTGTCATTTAAACCTACCTCGTCGATAAAACCCTCATTTTTTATATTCAATGCTGGTAACGAATTTAATTATAATGAGTTTTTTAAGGTAAAGGGAAATTTTGAATAATAAAATTGAGAAAAGGAATCTAACTAAAGAGTTGGGACAGGCGGAACAAACTGAAAATTTGTGGCCAATTATCGAACATTTCTTCCACAAAAACACCTTTTCTTTCCAGCTAGCATGCATGCATGAAACTCGTGATTTTAGATCTTCTTCGACAATATACTTTTTTCCCCCTTAATTTTTAATGAGAAATAAATCACAACTTAAAGTAGAAAAAGAGGCAATATTTATTAATATTTGAATAAGAAGATAAAAACATAAGATTTATTAAAATAAAAATAAAAATCATTAAAAATGAGACTTGATCTGCTTTTGCAATTTTTTGAAGAAAAGAAACTGATTAATGCATATGAAAGAGTAAGTAACATTAACGGTACGAGGATTTTAATAAGGGTAAAGTACAGGGTTGATTACTTTCATTTATGGTTTGTACATTTTTCCTCACTGAATTTAAAAAACATAATATTTGGTCACATTCGTTTTTGTTTAATTAAGATATGGTCATTGAGAGTTAATTGTTGTTAGACCTTTAACATATTGTTAATGTGGCACAATGAATTTATAAAATTAAAAAAAATAAACCACATAAATGATCACTAATGTTTAATTAAGTTTATGTTTTCCCCATTGAAGTTTCAAAAATAACAAATTGGTCACTAAAACACCAAGCAGGTCCCTAAACAATGATTTTATATCCAATTTAAGCTTTTTAATTTTTTCAATTTTTTGCAATCGAATATTTCGAATGATAAGCAAAAAGTTAGGAAACGTTTGGGGTAAATTAGATATAAAACCATTGTTCAAGGAATATATTTGATGTTTTAGCGACCGATTTATTACTTTTGAAACTTCACTGGAAAACAAAAAATACTCAAACATTAGTGACCATTTGTATAATTTACCCTTTTAATTATATAAATTTAGTGTGTCACATCAGCAATCCGCTAAAGATCTAACAGCAGTTAACCCTAAGTGATAGCATCTTAATTAAACAAAAACAAAAGTGACCAAATATTATGTTTTTTGTATTTAGTAAAAAAATGTATAAAACTTAAACGAAAGTTATCAATCTTGTAGTTTACTCTTTTAATAATTATAATGTGGTCTCTTATTTGTTTAGATAAGATAGAAAGTTGGAAGATCAAGAAGTTAATGGACGGAAAAAGAATTTTATTCTAGGTAAAATCTCTAAAATTTTAGAAATGATGGATTTATAAAATTTTAGGAAGATAAAAATATATTTATAATAAAAAAATACATATAAAAATTTAAAATATACTATAATTATAAATTTTCAAAATGTGACTGTACCACACATATCTCCAATCCATCCTCAAGAAAGATCCTCTTGACTACATCCGTGCCTGACAAGTCAAGCAAGAATATGATGCAAGAATATGATGCAAGAATATGATGCAATACTTTTAAAGGTAATGAATTACTTGCTAGAAAAAATAAAAGAAAGAAAATCCCAAAACTAAATCTCAAGTTCCAATTTCTTCAATTAATCAAGGCTACATGTTCTTGATCCCGACTCAAAGAATAATAAAACTTTAGCTTTTGCATGTCAGATATACATGTATGCTTTTCGTACTAATTTAATTTACTTGAACCATTTGCTTTTATATAATTAACTTACCATCCAAGACAAAAGTATTCCTTGAATAAACACGTGGCATCAAACAATTAGTGAGTACTCTATATAACTCAAAATAATGTGGAAGAATTGAGGGAATATAGTTTAGTTCATTTATGTTTCAAAAGAATATGGAAGTTAACTTTCTCTTGTTTTAAAATGACGATGGTTGGTCAATTATGCAAGTGCAATATTCCATTCCCTAAATAACATAGGATAAAATATACAAATGGTAATCCGATAATAAGGTATTACATTGTTGAATTTTTTAATTATTAAAAGTTATAAAATGATCACTCAATTATAGGACATTGTTTTGTTGAGTCATCTTACTATTAAAGTTACAAAATGGTTAATTGATTATTCATATGTTCAAACTCGTCTTTTTCAATTAAAAAAATTGAAGATGTTCGGGCTGGATGTTAACCTGTTAATTGAGATATGATAAAATCATATTTTAATGAAGTCTATTGGTACTATCGTTGCTTTGAAAAATTGACTCGGTGACAAAATGTTTCAAACACCAACTTTATGACATAATGTAACATAGAGTCACTCCACAAAATATAACTCAAACGGTTTTGGGATCAAATTATATCATATCTTAATCAATATGTTAACTTTCAACTCAGACCACCGTTAATTTTGTAATTGTAAAGGGACGAGTTTAGATTATATAAATAGTCGGATGAGAATTTTGTAATTTTTAATAGTCAGATGACTCAACAAAGCATCACCCTATAATCGAAGAATCATTTTATAATTTTTAATAATCGAAAAACTCAACTAAAACAAGCTCTATAATTAAATAACCATTTGTACTCTACTCTATAATATATATATATAATGGATGTGACTCTTGAACCTTGACCTACCCACCACCTACCGCCTTCACCTTCCTAGCTAACACTAGCTAAAACTACAATGGAAGTCGATCGTCTGTTCTCAGAGCAGCAATCACATAAAGATCTGATAACTGACCATAGTTCCCCTCAAACTCATCAAATCGATCTCCAACAAATAGTGGAGCTCATTGACTGCATTTTCAACATTGCTCTTGCAACCAAGGTGTCTTATAATTTTACTTGGCCTCTTGATTACAGTCATATATTTAAATGATTTTATTTGTTGTAGGAGGACGATGTTGAATCTGAAAAGTTAAAAGCCATGATGAGCAGCCTGGAGAACATTGATGGTATGCGTGAAGCATTGACTGATATCAGACATATCTCCTGTGAGGTAAATCACTTACCAACTTGTTGTTTAAGACCAACAAATGCATTAATCTAAGGCTTACTACTATGTTTGCACGTATGACTAATTTGATCTTCACTCTTTTTCTTTTTGGAGTATTTTAATCTTCAACGTGTCAATTTTTAGTTAAATTTCTTCTATTGGAAGGAAACCGTTAATTAACGAACGATCAACATATGTTGTTGATGTAATATTTTCACATTTGCTTAACTGCTAATGTGATATGTGCCACATAACCCAAAGTGGTGACGTGATATGTACCACATAATCCAGAGTAGTGACGTGATATATGTTATGTAACCCAAAGTGATTACGTGATATATGCCATATAACTTAGAGTGATGATGCGGTATATCCCATGTAACTCATAGAGATGATGTGACACATATTACGTCAACAATTAAGTACATATGAAAATAGTATGTCAAAAACATATGTTGACTATTAGTCAACTAGCGATTTCCTTCCAATAGGAGATATTTTAACTCAATTAAAATGTTAAGTGTTAGAATACTAAAAAAATAGAAGCCAAAATAATCATTTATACAAACATTTGGAGGTAATTTTAGCATCATCACTTAATCTAAAACTTTGAAATTCGTCTTCCCACTATAGATGTCTTGCAATCTCGTAGAAGGAACAGGAAATCTGAGTAAAACCAAATCAACAATGGAACAAAGGCTTCGTAAGTATTCGGGGAATGGAAGAGCGGTTCTAGCAATCGCAGCTTTTGCTTCGAGTATCGGAGAATTGTCGATGCTGGGGAAGCACTGCAACCATTCGATCTCGAAGTTTATGAATGCCGTAAAAGGCCACTCTCTCAAACTCGATTTCAAGGCTCTTCAGAGCTCGGGTCTTATCGACGCCATGAAGAAAGTCTCCCGCACCAGTTTGGACTTCTCCAACATCCGAAGAGATGAGTTTTCCGAGAATATTATTGACAATGTTTTGCAAATTTCAACCACTTTAAGCAAAAGGGAGTAAGCTCCTCCATCGATCCTTTTAGCATCCTTCATGTTCAACTTCAATTTTATATTACATTGGCATATTTATATTTGTATAATTACTCTTACTTTAGGGATATTGGTGATGATGAACTAACAACGTTGACAAGACGACTTATCGAGCTAAATGATGATCTTCGAGAGAAACTGGTTGCTGCAAGTAAGCCATCGTATAAATATACAATTTTGTTAGTATATCATACGAAAAATGGTAAACTACATGTTTAGTCTCTAAACTATTACTTTTGTTCCATTTTGATACTTAAACTTTATTTTGTATCAAAATCATGCCTAACGTTTAGTTTATGTTTCATTTTGGTAACCCGTCATTAAAAACTTAACGATGATATTGACGTGTTACCATAAAGTAATGTCATGTCATCATTGAAAAATGTCGCATCGTCAGTTCTGTTAATTTTTTAACTGCATGGTACCAAAATGAAACCTAAACTAAATGTTAGGCATAATTTTGAAAAGTTAAAATTTAGGCACCAAAACAGAACAAAGTAGATAGATTAGATACTAAATATGTAATTTACGTAAAAAATCCTAAATTGTTTAAGGATTTTATTGATCATAGGGTAATCACACCATATTAACATATATTTTAAAAACTAATAAATTGAAACATAAAGAATCATTACAGCAACAAATGTTGGGTGCGTCTAACTGTTTGTTTTTGTTTTTTCACTCAAACTATTAACAGTGAACTTTTTAACGGAATAGATGGTGTGACTATTAAAAAGATTAGTATAATTATACATTTGGTCATTAATATTTATATATTCTATTATTTTAGTCTTTATTTTAATTCAATTAAATAAATTTAATCTCCAATTAGATAATGATCGTGTCATTATTTGATTGGATCGTATTTTTTTTATTTTAATTTATTCAACCTAATATTTTCCTCTAATGAGGTATTGACACGTGTCACTACCTTAATAGAAGTGGAAAAATTTTGTGGAGTAAAAGTGCTGCTGTGTAGGATTGAAATTGAACTTGGGACTTCAGAGAGATGAAATTGCGCCTAAACCACTCAGCCAAATCATATAAAATGTTAATATTTTTGTTCATTCTAATATTAGCATTTTAACACGTGTCACTACCTTAATAGAAGCGGAAAAAATTTGTAGAGTAAAAGTGCTGCTGTGTAGGATTGAACTTGAATCTTTTTAAAGAGATCAACCTGCGCCTGAACCGCCTAGCCAATTCATATAAAACGTTGATACATTGCAACATTTTATATATTCTATTGTTACTAATAACAGAAAAAAAAATGTTAAAATGCTATTGGGAAGATTTGAACCTAGGATGAAAAACTTTAACTACTAGGCCAACTTACATATTTTAATAATAGTTTTTACATTTGTTTAACACTCTTTTTTTTCTTTTAGTAACAACAATAGAATATATACTAAATGTTGCAATCTTTTAACAAATATAGGGCTTGGCTAAGTGGCTCAAGCGCATGCAAACTGTCTTTGACACCACCTTATTGGAGGTAAAATTATTAGGTTAAATAAATTAAATTTAAGAATAGTGACACATGTCATTATTTAATTAGAGATTAAATTTTTTTAATTGAATTAAAATAAAGATTAAAATAATAAAATGTGTAAATATTAAAGATCAAATGTATAATTATACCAATATTTTTAATAACCACATCATCTAGTCCATTAAAAATAATGGTTAGTAGCTTGATTGGAATACTTAAATATTATGTGGTCTGATTGATAAATTTTCAGGAAAAAAGATAATAAAAAAAGGCAATAGTTAAATAGTCAATGATATAGTTTATCTAAGAAAAAATAACTAAAGCTTTTAGTATCGTGGTAAGTTTTTTTAAATAGTCTGAGATGAGTAAAATATAATATATTTTTATAATATTTCTTAAATATTGACAATACATACACCTTGTAAATACAATTACTCAAACCCTTAACCTCTACAAAGAACAACAACTCTCACTTTTACCAATGATATTGTTCAATATATTTTAATGTTTTACTTTCTTGAAAAGATTTAAATTTAGACTCACGTACCGATACAAACTACGTTGCTCGAATCCAGTTGGGTGTATGCGTCTTTTTGACATTTGATCACAATATGGTGCAGGGAAAGTGGCACCATATGATTATGAAGACGAACGGAAACCTATTCTCAATATCAGAACCTCGGAACTTATCGAAAACATCAAGAAATATACAGAGGTTGGTTCAAATCCCTATTGTATTGCATATTATAATCGAATCATTTGTTTCAAAATAAATTATGCAAATGGTTATGACTTATTATTTTGTTGAGTCTCTCGATTATAAAAAAAATTATAAAACAGTCATTCGACTATAAAACGTTACTTTGTTAAATTTTGCGACTATTAAAAGTTACAAAATGATCACTCAACTATTCAAATATTCCAAAATTGTCCTTTTTGATAAAAGTTGACGGCAATCTGAATTGGACGTTAACCTGTTGATCGAGACATAATAAAATCTAATCTCACAATCTCAAACGACTATCATATCTTAGTCAACATGTTAACGTCCAGCTCATACAATCGTTAAATTTTTTAACAAAAAATGACAAGTTTAAAACATAATGAATAGTCAGGTAACCATTTTGTAACTTTTAATAGCTGAGAGACTCAATAAAATAATATCTTATAATCAAAGGATCATTTTATAATATTTGTTTACTTTACCCTTCAAAATATGGGGTTTTGATGATTAATATGTTTACGATACAGGATCCTGAAAAACTGAGAAACAAGCATGTGTTATTTCTCATATCAGATCTCGACATATCCATCGAAGAAATTAAGGTTCTCAACGGATTGTACCAAAAGAATGACAACAAGTATGAAATCTTGTGGGTCCCAATCGTGGAGTTGTCGGTAAATGATAAGAGAGCAGAGGCAAAGTTTGGGGAGCTGAAACAAATGATGAAATGGATTGCAGTTAAGCATTCCAAGATCGAAGCACAAGTCATTGAGTGCATAAAGAAGGACTGGCAATTTATAAAGCAAGCCATTGCTGTGTCAGTGAAACCAAGTGGGGCAATAACATCCTTGAATGCCCTCCCTATGTTGTGGACATGGGGTAATTCGGCCTTTCCTTTCATTGCAACAAGAGAACAAGCTCTGTGGAAGGAAAGAGTTGAGCAAAATGGTTGGAGGCTTCACTTGTTGTTCGATGAACTTGACCTTCCCAATGATATAGACATGCAATCATGGGTACATTTATAATCTCTTATTTATATTTAGGGTTAACTACATGTTTAGTACCTCAACTGTCACTTTTGCTCCGTTTTCATCACCCAACTATTACTTTTCAAAATCATACCTAAGGCTATGTTTTGGTTTCATATTGGTCACCCGCCGTTAAAAAAAATAGCTGAAATGCTAGCATGACAATTTTTTTTTAAAAAAAATTCAAGAATTATGTTACATTACTTTATAGTAACCCATCAACATCATAGTTAATTTTTAACGTCGGGTGATCAAAATGAAACTAAAACTAAATGTTATGTATGATTTTAAATAAAAAATAATTGAGTGATAAAAATGGAACAAAAATGATAGTTGGGTACTAAACATGTAGTTTACCCTTATTTATAACCTCTGATTTGTTTTTGGGGTAAACTACATGTTTAGTACTTCAACTATCACTTTTGTTCCGTTTTGGCCACCTAACTATTTTTTCAAAATCATACCCAATGTTACATTTTGGTTTCATTTTGGTCACCTACAGTTAATAAAATAACAGAACTGTTGACATTACATTTTTTTATTTTTTTCATTGATGATGTATTATTATCTTATGGTGACACGTCAACATCACCATTAATTTTTTAATAATGAGTTACCAAAATGAAACAAAAACTGAACATTAGGTATGATTTCAAAACAGAAATAGTTAGATGACCAAATGGAACAAAAATGACAGTTGGGGTAATAAACGTATAGTTTACCCTTATTTTTATTTACCTTTTGGTTCTAGTTTCAGAATCTTACTTAAGGGATGTTGTGTGTTACTTGATTATTTAGACAAAGAGCGAGGGGACATTTGTATGCTTGTTTGGAGGTGGGGATATGTCATGGATTCAGGCATTCACTGAGAAAGTGAAAATTGCTGCACACGCTGCGGGTGTTTCCTTAAAGCTAGTATACCTTGGTGTGGGGAAGAGCAAAGGCAAAGGGCTAACAAGGAATGAGTTTGGTCGAGGCATTCATGTCATTGAATCAGAATCTCAGTGGCATTTCTGGACTCGACTGGAGAGCATATTGTACTACAAAATCAAACTCGGTAAGACGGTGAACATCAGCAGGAAGGATCCGGTGATGCAGGAGGCGTTGAAAGTGGTCGGGTACGGTGGGAATGGCAAAGCATGGGCCATGTTTTCGATGGGAACAAGTGCCATGGTGACAACCAGCGGGAAAACGGCTCTAAGTATAATGGAAAACTACAAGAAATGGATAAAAGAGAACGTGGGGAATCGTTTCTTTAATGGAATAGAAGAGTACAATGAATTAATAATGAGGGATGTGCACAGCTGCATCAACGTTAACCTGCCGGTTATGGGTGAGATTCCAGGGATAATGATGTGCCCTGAGTGTTCCAAAGTGATGGACATGTTTTACACTTACCGCTGCTGCCCTGAGTCGCTGCTGTGCTGAGTAATTAGGAAATACACCCGGAGGAAATAGATATAATAAAATGTATTAAGCTGCTAAGGCTCTACTCTACCATGGAATAAAATCTGAGGCTCACTCATTTATTCACCTACACTATTTGGTGAAGAAAGAGTCCAGAACTTGTTTAATCTGTGCTGTCTATTTATCAAAGAAAAGAAATTCCAAGTGAAAAGCTTCATGGACTCTTGTAGTTGCATTCATACTTAAATTGAAAAACAATATGGCGTGAACTATAAATTTTGAGATCTAACAGTGAACGATGACGACGGCCGATGTCGTATGATGGTGACAGTGGTGAGTGGTGGTGGTTGTGAGAGACTTTGATCGAATTCAGGAGTAAAATTGATATTTTATCTAAGTTTAGATGTCGAAATGATGCTTCATCTGAAGTTCAACATCTAACTAGTAGTCTATTTAAAGTTCAGGGGTAAAATTAAAATTTTACACCTTTTGAATAATGTGTCACGCCATCAGACTAATGGGAGTTAACGACTCAATGACCAAAATGTAACATTCGATTATATAAGTGATCAAAAATTAAAAATTTGGTAATGTAAGTGACAAAAAAATTAAGTTTTTTGAATTTTGTGAGAAAAAATTTACAAATATAAAAGAAAAGTGATCAATCCAATAGTTTACCCTAAAGAAAATGTCTAATTTATATGTGAATTTGCCTACAAACTTATTTGGAGAATAAAGACTACCAAGAAATAGTCTTAGGGACTGTTTGTTTGCCTCTTGATGGAACCATTCAGCGTTGAATGCTGAACCGTTCAGCATTCAACACGTTTGTTTCACACTTCTGAATGATTCATTACTGATTGATTCAGCAAAACAGTACTGAATGATTCAGCACAGAAGTACATTCTGAATCATTTAGAGCCAGTTATCAAACAACATGTCACATTCAGAGTCAAACCATTCAGAGCCTCTAAATCATTCAGTATTTGAATCATTCAGCGCTTAATCATTCTGAAGTAAATAAACAGCCCCTTAATCTCGTTTGTTCCATGTGAAAACCTGAAGATTCAACACGTAAACAGTTGTAAAAGTCCATGTCTTAAGAGCGAATATAGATCACAAACTATTGCAAATGACTCATCAAAAACCAACACAATAATGAATTATTACGTCCATTAAAATTCTATCAATCCACATAAAAATTCGCTCCAAAGATAAATGGTCGAATTTATTTCATCCCAATAAGGGGAGCTTTAGTTTTATTTTATATGTTAATTCTGTCGCACCCCGATTTTGAGGCTGGAATTTTATTCAGTATATTGAGGACTAACGTGGAACATTTAAGAAATTTAGAAAATTTTATGTGAATATACGGAAGTTGTAAAGGACTATATAGATATGTGTTCAAGTTTGAAAACTAAATTAAAAGAAAATTATGGAACTTAAGGACTAATTTGAAAATGGATTGGAAATAGAAGACAAAAAGGTGAAAATATGTACAGTTTGATGACCTTGAATGTAATTTGTCCATTTTTATTTGGAAGTTTTGTATTTCAGCCAAAAGGATGAAATTAACGTGAAGTTCAAGGTGAACTAGTTAATGTTAAGTCCGGCTAAATCGACGAGATAATGTGTTGGGATTATTTATTTCACGAGATAATGCTATCTCCATATTATTTGTTGAGATAGGGTAAAATCCACAGTGCAACCGTAGGTCGCCATGCCGTCCTCACGAGCTGTTGAAGGTCGCCATGCATGCATTGGAGGTCGCCATGCAATCCAACCAAGTAAGGTCGCCATATAATTGCTGCAACCAAGCTGGTAAGAAAGAAGATAATGAGAGTTGTATGGGGCTGCAAGATCATGACATGTGTTTCAAAATTTGAAATAAAAATAAAAAAAAATAAAAATTCAACTTTCACTTGCCAAAAGGAAAAGAAAACAAACGTAGGTGAAACCAACTTTACAACACTTGGGCCACACAACTCTCATTATTTCTTTCTTACCAGCTTGGTCGCATCAATCACATGGCGACCTTGCTTGGTTAGATTGCATGGCGACCTCCAACCATGCATGCATGGCGACCTTCAACAGCTCGCAGGGACGGTATGGCGACCTACGGTTGTACTGTGAATTTCACCCTATCTCAACAAATAATATGGAGATAGCATTATCTCGTGAAATAAATAATCCTAACACATTATCTCGTTAAGTCCTTACCAGTTGTACTAAACTACCGTTGATTATTAAAATAATAATAAAAGTATAAATACTATTATACCCCAGCTCCAGGAAGGCGTCACATGAATGCCAGTTGTCTCGAGAGTTTTCAGAGAATTCCATATCTTCCCCACTTCAACCGTCTTTCGCTTCTGATCTCTGTCCCTGTCAGTTTGTGGTCGTCACCGTCTACATCATCAGATTCTCTGCTTTACTCCGACCAAAACCCCACACTCCACTCTCGATGAAACCGCGTCAAATGCCGTAGAAGTGGCCTCGAAAGTTCGTTGGAAACTCAAGGCTCCCCCACTGTTTTTCAACAATCTCGATCGTTCTCGCCATCCTTTCTTCAAACCGCCGGATCTATTGTCCTACTTTCGTGGTTTTTCTCTGTCTGGTACCCTCATTGTTTCCGTCGTCCTTGAGGAGCGTGGGGTATGAGCCGTTCGATCATTTGAGGAAGCTCAATTCTCATCGTTCTCCGTTGTTTTTCATCGCAAACTAAGCTTGATAAATAGTTTAAAATCGTTTGATTTGAGATTCTGGAAATTTTGGAAGCATTCTGACGCTTTTGGCCCATTCACGCGTTGTCCCTGCACGTGGGGCTTCTCCACAATCTGGGGAGTCTTTTGGAACCGGTCTAAACTGGTTCAAATCGCATAAACCAAGCCACTTTAAGCCGAACCGAGTAATTTTGAGCCAAATCGAGCTACATTGAGCCAAAATGAGGCAAGCCAAATCGATCCGAGCCGTTGACCAACATTGACAAGCCGTTAATCGACGTTGATTTTGACCATTGAGTAAAAGTTGTTTTTTTCTAAAAAGTAATATTTTAGACTTTTCGACGTCTTGAGTCCATTTTTTAAGTCTCTTTTACCAAATTCTAACATGATAAATTGTCTTTAAGCATTTTACCTTTCAATTTTATCTGATTAACACATTTAAGTTTTGTTTTTGATGTAAGTTGTTCTGTCATGTATCTAAGATATTGTGGGACATTGAATTCGAATTCTAGAGTGATTGAAGGGAGTTTCAAGACCGAGTGATTTAGTTCAAAGTCACGATAATACTTTACTGACTTTTGTAACCCCCTCAGACAGATGCGGATAGCCCGATCCGATCTGGAGTGTCACATTAGGGCCACCAGAGCAACCCACTGTAAAAATAGCGGAAAATTTAAAACTTTTCTTAAAACAAGTAAAATTATAAATGATTTATTATTATTCATAAATAAAATAGGTTTTTCAAACTCAAATATAAAACAAAATACAATCCACATGCCCCCTAATCACATGTATCATACTCTGCAAGCAACGCCGGAAGAACTCCCCTACTGATGTTGATAGTTGTACTCGTACAATTCTTTTAACCTGCAATGGTGAGTAATAGAGTGAGATTCGGAAAGCTCAGTAATACAGAACTACCAGATGATGCTACTTGACATGCAGATAAATGGGAAGCCATAATTTCCTTATTGAATCAAACGTATACCATTTACGGAATAATCTGGGGTTCCATTAGTAGTTCATCGAGTAGAATCCATGAATCTCAGTTTATAAGAAACCTTTCATACAGTCACGTTTTCATGAGGTCGAATAGGATATCTAGTGTGTTCCATCAGTACGATAAAATCATAATAGGTACACTAATCAAATGATAGTTCAGTAAAATCCCATAAACCATACTGTAGTGGAGCTTTTTAAACTCGTATTTTAAACCATCTTACAAAGGGTTAACCTAAGAGAATATCTTAGGGCCTGAGAGCCTACCCAAGATAGATTTCGGGGCTGTGGGGCCTACCTAAGAACACATCTTAGGGTAGCAGGGCCTACCCGAGAATGATCTCAGAGCCGTAGAGCCTACCTAAGAGTCACATTAGGTCCATAAAAATTTTTCAACTTGATCAAAGCTGTACTTTACAAATCTATATCTCCAAGATACAGTTTATACAATGATACAAATCCATAAGCCATCACCGTTAAGTCGGTGCATCCATAAAAAGTAACCATAGATTTCAGTGTACCACATGTTAAAACAATAAAACAATTTTTTTAAAATATACGGAACACACTAGAGAATCCAAATATTTTTCAGATGTATTTTGTAGTTATCAATATGGATAACATGAACTTGTACAATTTGATCGGATTCCAGTAATAAGATCTTATTGAAGAGAATCGATTTCTAACTGATCTAATTAGACATTTCAAATTGATACTTTAGAATTCCACTAAGTTTCTATGTGCATCAGGAAAACGTTCAGGAACCTTTATACATAATAATTCTAAATTCAGATTTACTGCGAGTGATTCTATTACCCAAACAATCAGGGGTATTCAGGAATATACTTTGAATTCATAGGATTTCAGCCCAATTGAACCAAATGAGGTATTCCGAATCTTTTCCTTCTGCTTTACTTGCGTTTTCAAACATGACCGAAGTGATTTTAGATGAAAATAAAGAATCAAAGATTCAAGTCATTTACAATCTATGACTATCGACCATATTATCAAACAACTCGAGTTACACAACTCTCAAACTGATGCATGTCAACAAGTCAATTCATTATCCTTCCAGTGTATTCACTCTTTAATACCATAATGCAGATCCATAGATCATCCCCATAATCATCGTTGAATAGATCTCCCAACTGTCTTTATTTCATTTCTACGTTTCAACGATATCAGGAAATACGGACGTACTTGATTCATGGTTCATAACCCATAAAGACAATTCATCATGTAAGTTCAACAGTGTTTCCAGAGTCATCCAAATAACTTATTTAATCCTCATTCATTGAGGTTATTTAGTTCATTTAACAATCATGTCTATTCTTGTTACTTTAGAGTTTTCCAGAGTAATTCAGACGTTTCTGAATTCCAAATACATATTGCATTTTC